GTCGTGTTTACTCTCCAACGTTTGGTGACCGAGTTATTGTCGGTTGGCCTTCTTCCGAAGGCATTTAATTGTGTCGCCCTAGGATGACAGGGGAAAACAGGTGACCACAGGGAATCGCAGAGCTGATTTACACGACCAAATTCATCTAACACACCTTCCATTGTCGCAGAGGTGTGTCCGTCCTCCATGGCCGGGCCCACAGCGTGCGGGTCTCCGTCACCTGTCAAGACAAACAACACGAGCTTAGTATTTTTGTATCAGGCGCATTGACGAAAGGAGCGTTTGTCAGTCGTCTTTGAGTCTTAGGACAAACTTCCAGCAATTGGTGCCACAATGAAGGGGGTTTGGGACATCTCGATCGACTATTAATGGGGAAACTGCTTCTGGGAGCACATCATTTGTAGACATCAGAGTGACAAAACTGAACCAAACTTTAGACAGCATGTCGTGTTTACTCTCCAACGTTTGGTGACCGAGTTATTGTCGGTTGGCCTTCTTCCGAAGGCATTTAATTGTGTCGCCCTAGGATGACAGGGAAAAACAGGTCACCACAGGGAATTGCAGAGCTGATTTACACGACCAAATTCACCTAACATACCTTCCATTGCCGCAGAGGTGTGTCCGTCCTCCATGGCCGGGCCCACAGCGTGCAGGTCTCCGTCACCTGTCAAGACAAACAACACAAGCTTAGTATCTTTGTATCAGGCGCATTGACGAAAGGAGAATTTGTCAGTCGTCCTCGAGTCTTAGGACAAACTTCCAGCAATTGGTGCCACAATGAAGGGAGTTTGGGACATCTCGATCGACTATTAATGGGGAAACTGCCTCTGGGAGCACATCATTTGTAGACATCAGAGTGATAAAACTGAACCAAACTTTAGACAGCATGTCGTGTTTACTCTCCAACGTTTGGTGACCGAGATATTGTCGGTTGGACTTCTTCCGAAGGCATTTAATTGTGCCGTCCTAGGATGACAGGGGAAAACACGTGACCACAGGGAATTGCAGAGCTGATTTACATGACCAAATTCATCTAACACACCTTCCATTGTCGCAGAGGTGTGTCCGTCCTCCATGGCCGGGCCCACAGCGTGCAGGTCCCCGTCACCTGTCCAGACAAACAACACGAGCTTAGTATTTTTGTATCAGGCGCATTGATGAAAGGAGCATTTGTCAGTCGTCTTAGAGTCTTAGGACAAACTTCCAGCAATTGGTGCCACAATGAAGGAAGTTTGGGACATCTCGTTCGACTATTAATGGGGAAACTGCCTCTGGGAGCACATCATTTGTAGACATCAGAGTGACAAAACTGAACCAAACTTTAGACAGCATGTCGTGTTTACTCTCCAACGTTTGGTGACCGAGTTATTGTCGGTTGGCCTTCTTCCGAAGGCATTTAATTGTGTCGCCCTAGGATGACAGGGGAAAACAGGTGACCACAGGGAATCGCAGAGCTGATTTACACAACCAAATTCATCTAACACACCTTCCATTGTCGCAGAGGTGTGTCCGTCCTCCATGGCCGGGCCCACAGCGTGCAGGTCTCCGTCACCTGTCAAGACAAACAACACGAGCTTAGTATTTTTGTATCAGGCGCATTGATGAAAGGAGCATTTGTCAGTCGTCTTAGAGTCTCAGGACAAACTTCCAGCAATTGGTGCCACAATGAAGGGAGCTTGGGACATCTCGTTCGACTATTAATGGGGAAACTGCCTCTGGGAGCACATCATTTGTAGACATCAGAGTGACAAAACTGAACCAAACTTTAGACAGCATGTCGTGTTTACTCTCCAACGTTTGGTGGCCGAGTTATTGTCGGTTGGACTTCTTCCGAAGGCATTTAATTGTGCCGCCCTAGGATGACAGGGGAAAACACGTGACCACAGGGAATCGCAGAGCTGATTTACACGACCAAATTCATCTAACACACCTTCCATTGTCGCGGAGGTGTGTCCGTCCTCCATGGCCGGGCCCACAGCGTGCAGGTCTCCGTCACCTGTCCAGACAAACAACACGAGCTTAGTATTTTTGTATCAGGCGCATTGATGAAAGGAGCATTTGTCAGTCGTCTTAGAGTCTTAGGACAAACTTCCAGCAATTGGTGCCACAATGAAGGGAGTTTGGGACATCTCGTTCGACTATTAATGGGGAAACTGCCTCTGGGAGCACATTATTTGTAGACATCAGAGTGACAAAACTGAACCAAACTTTAGACAGCATGTCGTGTTTACTCTCCAACGTTTGGTGACCGAGTTATTTTCGGTTGGCCTTCTTCCGAAGGCATTTAATTGTGTCGCCCTAGGATGACAGGGGAAAACAGGTGACCACAGGGAATCGCAGAGCTGATTTACACGACCAAATTCATCTAACACACCTTCCATTGTCGCAGAGGTGTGTCCGTCCTCCATGGCCGGGCCCACAGCGTGCAGGTCTCCGTCACCTGTCAAGACAAACAACACGAGCTTAGTATTTTTGTATCAGCCGCATTGATGAAAGGAGCATTTGTCAGTCGTCTTAGAGTCTTAGGACAAACTTCCAGCAATTGGTGCCACAATGAAGGGAGTTTGGGACATCTCGTTCGACTATTAATGGGGAAACTGCCTCTGGGAGCACATCATTTGTAGACATCAGAGTGACAAAACTGAACCAAACTTTAGACAGCATGTCGTGTTTACTCTCCAACGTTTGGTGACCGAGTTATTGTCGGTTGGCCTTCTTCCGAAGGCATTTAATTGTGTCGCCCTAGGATGACAGGGGAAAACAGGTGACCACAGGGAATCGCAGAGCTGATTTACACGACCAAATTCATCTAACACACCTTCCATTGTCGCAGAGGTGTGTCCGTCCTCCATGGCCGGGCCCACAGCGTGCGGGTCTCCGTCACCTGTCAAGACAAACAACACGAGCTTAGTATTTTTGTATCAGGCGCATTGACGAAAGGAGCGTTTGTCAGTCGTCTTTGAGTCTTAGGACAAACTTCCAGCAATTGGTGCCACAATGAAGGGGGTTTGGGACATCTCGATCGACTATTAATGGGGAAACTGCTTCTGGGAGCACATCATTTGTAGACATCAGAGTGACAAAACTGAACCAAACTTTAGACAGCATGTCGTGTTTACTCTCCAACGTTTGGTGACCGAGTTATTGTCGGTTGGCCTTCTTCCGAAGGCATTTAATTGTGTCGCCCTAGGATGACAGGGGAAAACAGGTCACCACAGGGAATTGCAGAGCTGATTTACACGACCAAATTCACCTAACATAATTTCCACTGCCGCAGAGGTGTGTCCGTCCTCCATGGCCGGGCCCACAGCGTGCAAGTCTCCGTCACCTGTCAAGACAAACAACACAAGCTTAGTATTTTTGTATCAGGCGCATTGACGAAAGGAGAATTTGTCAGTCGTCCTCGAGTCTTAGGACAAACTTCCAGCAATTGGTGCCACAATGAAGGGAGTTTGGGACATCTCGATCGACTATTAATGGGGAAACTGCCTCTGGGAGCACATCATTTGTAGACATCAGAGTGATAAAACTGAACCAAACTTTAGACAGCATGTCGTGTTTACTCTCCAACGTTTGGTGACCGAGTTATTGTCGGTTGGCCTTCTTCCGAAGGCATTTAATTGTGTCGCCCTAGGATGACAGGGGAAAACAGGTGACCACAGGGAATCGCAGAGCTGATTTACACAACCAAATTCATCTAACACACCTTCCATTGTCGCAGAGGTGTGTCCGTCCTCCATGGCCGGGCCCACAGCGTGCAGGTCTCCGTCACCTGTCAAGACAAACAACACGAGCTTAGTATTTTTGTATCAGGCGCATTGATGAAAGGAGCATTTGTCAGTCGTCTTAGAGTCTCAGGACAAACTTCCAGCAATTGGTGCCACAATGAAGGGAGCTTGGGACATCTCGCTCGACTATTAATGGGGAAACTGCCTCTGGGAGCACATCATTTGTAGACATAAGAGTGACAAAACTGAACCAAACTTTAGACAGCATGTCGTGTTTACTCTCCAACGTTTGGTGACCGAGTTATTGTCGGTTGGCCTTCTTCCGAAGGCATTTAATTGTGTCGCCCTAGGATGACAGGGGAAAACAGGTGACCACAGGGAATCGCAGAGCTGATTTACACAACCAAATTCATCTAACACACCTTCCATTGTCGCAGAGGTGTGTCCGTCCTCCATGGCCGGGCCCACAGCGTGCAGGTCTCCGTCACCTGTCAAGACAAACAACACGAGCTTAGTATTTTTGTATCAGGCGCATTGATGAAAGGAGCATTTGTCAGTCGTCTTAGAGTCTCAGGACAAACTTCCAGCAATTGGTGCCACAATGAAGGGAGCTTGGGACATCTCGTTCGACTATTAATGGGTGAAACTGCCTCTGGGAGCACATCATTTGTAGACAGCAGAGTGACAAAACTGAACCAAACTTTAGACAGCATGTTGTGTTTACTCTCCAACGTTTGGTGACCGAGTTATTGTCGGTTGGACTTCTTCCGAAGGCATTTAATTGTGCCGCCCTAGGATTACAGGGGAAAACACGTGACCACAGGGAATCGCAGAGCTGATTTACACGACCAAATTCATCTAACACACCTTCCATTGTCGCAGAGGTGTGTTCGTCCTCCATGGCCGGGCCCACAGCGTGCAGGTCTCCGTCACCTGTCCAGACAAACAACACGAGCTTAGTATTTTTGTATCAGGCGCATTGATGAAAGGAGCATTTGTCAGTCGTCTTAGAGTCTTAGGACAAACTTCCAGCAATTGGTGCCACAATGAAGGGAGTTTGGGACATCTCGTTCGACTATTAATGGGGAAACTGCCTCTGGGAGCACATCATTTGTAGACATCAGAGTGACAAAACTGAACCAAACTTTAGACAGCATGTCGTGTTTACTCTCCAACGTTTGGTGACCGAGTTATTGTCGGTTGGCCTTCTTCCGAAGGCATTTAATTGTGTCGCCCTAGGATGACAGGGGAACACAGGTGACCACAGGGAATCGCAGAGCTGATTTACACGACCAAATTCATCTAACACACCTTCCATTGTCGCAGAGGTGTGTCCGTCCTCCATGGCCGGGCCCACAGCGTGCAGGTCTCCGTCACCTGTCAAGACAAACAACACAAGCTTAGTATTTTTGTATCAGGCGCATTGACGAAAGGAGAATTTGTCAGTCGTCCTCGAGTCTTAGGACAAACTTCCAGCAATTGGTGCCAGAATGAAGGGAGTTTGGGACATCTCGATCGACTATTAATGGGGAAACTGCCTCTGGGAGCACATCATTTGTAGACATCAGAGTGATAAAACTGAACCAAACTTTAGACAGCATGTCGTGTTTACTCTCCAACGTTTGGTGACCGAGATATTGTCGGTTGGACTTCTTCCGAAGGCATTTAATTGTGCCGTCCTAGGATGACAGGGGAAAACACGTGACCACAGGGAATTGCAGGGCTGATTTACATGACCAAATTCATCTAACACACCTTCCATTGTCGCAGAGGTGTGTCCGTCCTCCATGGCCGGGCCCACAGCGTGCAGGTCTCCGTCACCTGTCCAGACAAACAACACGAGCTTAGTATTTTTGTATCAGGCGCATTGATGAAAGGAGCATTTGTCAGTCGTCTTAGAGTCTTAGGACAAACTTCCAGCAATTGGTGCCACAATGAAGGGAGTTTGGGACATCTCGTTCGACTATTAATGGGGAAACTGCCTCTGGGAGCACATCATTTGTAGACGTCAGACTGACAAAACTGAACTAAACTTTACACAGCATGTCGTGTTTACTCTCCAACGTTTGGTGACCGAGATATTGTCGGTTGAGCTTCTTCCAAAGGCAATTATTTCTGCCGCCCTAAAAGTTGTATGTTCCACACTTTAGCACTATAAAGTCAGTATTCTATATGTACCATTCTATTAATTTACACTTAAATACCACCATTCTAATAAATAATGCTTATGAATTCTGAAGCACCAGGTGCCTTGGCAATTGTCACCAAAGCTGGACACTGCAGAAATCCACCTAGCAGCAATTTCACTATGTATGTCATTTATCTGCTAGTTGAAAAACTTCAATTAGAATTAACTAAAAAAAAATGCATATCTTCGCTGACTCAGAGGTCAATCCTTGACTTTTTGTTTTATTCTTACAAGTGGAATTGGTTGCGAAATCGTTTCGAAAACACAAATAAGAAACACGAGAGACAGCGGTGAGAGCACACCTCACGCAAGAACAGTTTCAACCGCGACCATGAACGAGCATACATCCCGGCAGCTCCGGCAGCGAAACACGTGAAATGGATATGGAAAGCTCGTTCTCTAGCGGGATAACACACGCGCAAGAAGTATGTCACACAAATAAGGCACATACCAAACGTGCTAATAAATAGTGGCGTACTTACACGGAGAAACTCTCTGCCGGGGAGGTTTCCTCTTTGCATGTGGCCGTGGCTTCAAATGCGCGAACACCGATGGCACGGCGTTCGGTTTGAGCTTACGTTTCCCGTCCGCTCGATGAGCTTCGTACGCGTCTGACGTAAAATGATCCTGTCGGTTAAAGGGGTATTCTGTATAATTACAACCAAGACAGATGGAAGCTGGCGTCGTTGCTTACCTCGCAGAGTCGTGCTTGGGTCGACGGCGTGAAGTTTTTACGGTTTATTTTACGCAACCATTCGTTTCTTCGAGCAGCGTCCTGCTTGTTTTGCTTGCCAGATGGTAGCCTAAACAGAAGTTTGCCGTCTTCGTATCGGCCGCTACACCCGACCGCGCAGCACGTTGGCATCGTGCCAACCGCGTTGCAAAACACACCGTCTTCCGTGCAGCCGTCTCGCGCGAATGTACCAAGATGGCAGCCGAGACAGCCCGCGGATGGCCCGCGGTACCTCCGCGAGACGATTTATACCACGTGATGTCCCTTGACCAATCAGATGGCGGCGTTGTCGGCGCTCTGCCACATCAAAGAATGGCGCTACTTTCCCCCGATCCAGTGACTTTAGTCGTGCGCAGACTGCAAAGGTGCTTACCATTTGGGCCAGACTTGTTCCGGTATCGCCGACAAGACGTTCACCACTACGGGTCAGTCTAAGCGTGACAAGTGGAGATGCCGGACGTGCCGTGGGAAAGAGAGTCAAGCGGGACCACCTGATGGGATCGAAGCCTCGCAGGGTGTGGAGAGTCTATCTGCTCAGCTGGCTGCCATGACTGAGAAGCTGGATGGGCTGCTCACCCTGAAAGGAAGTGTAGATTCCCTCCTGTCTCTGTCGGCGCAGCTCAACGAACTCTTATTCGTAAAGCCACTGGTTGAGAGCCTGAGAGAGACAGTCAGCGAAATTCAACAGTCCATGGACTTCTTCTCCGCTGACTATGATCGTCTTCTCAAGCTGGCAACAGCCAACGAGCAAACTGGCAAAGGTCTCCAGGACGAACTGTCGCAGCTAAAGTCAACTGTGCAGATACAAGCAGCCGAAATCCAGGAGATCCGGGGCGCGCTCAACGACAACGAGCAGCACAGTCGTCTCTCCAACCTCGAAGTGCACGGACTTCCTGTCTCGCCTAAAGAAGACCTATTATCCTTTATTGAGTCTCTCGCGGAAAAGCTGAACATCTCTCACTTCCATAAAACCGATATACTCGCTATACATCGCCTGCCTGCCAAACGTGAAAAGGCCCCGCCGATTCTAATTCGATTTGCTTCGGTCAGCATGAAGGAATCGTGGATGGAAGCGCGGGGAAAGCTTCCCTCACTCAGTCAGGTTGGTCCTTTCCCCAAATTGTACTTAAACGACAACCTGACTCGTGCGAACAAGGAGCTGTTTTGGCAGGCTAGACAGAGAGGCAAGGAGCGAGGCTACAAATTCGTGTGGGTGACAAGGGCTAAGATATACGCCAGAAAGATGGAGGGTTCTCTCTCTGTGAGGATCAACCATAAGTTAGACCTTGAAAAGATTATCTAGTTGCATGACAAACTTCGCTCAGGTTTCAGATTTTTCGTCTTTAAGAAAGTTTCTTGGAGTCTCTCATGACCACTCTTTTTCTGCTTTACATGTTAATATAAGGAGCATACGAAAGCATTGGAATGAATTCGAGATAATTTCAAGGGATATTAGTTCGCTGGTAGATGTCTTTGTTTTAACAGAAATAAGCATTTCCTCTGTTGCTACAGATCAATTTTCTTTACCAGGATATATAGGTAAATTCTACACGCGGTGTTCCGGTCATGGAGGTGGCATCGCGGTTTTCGTGAATGAGAAGTGGTCCATTACTAATATTTCTTTGTACTTCAATCACGCAGAGTGTGTCGCCCTTTCTCTAGGAAACGCGGCAACCTCGGTATATTTTTTGGCAGTCTACAGACCGCCTTCCACGAACGTTGGATCTTTTCTGGAAGACCTTGAATCTTACATAAGTAGTCTCACCATGCATGACCAGTTATGCCTTGTAGGAGATTTTAATATTGACATTTTAAGCACGACCAAATCTACAGTGTGCAAATACTTAACCATCTTGTCAACGCATGGGATAGAGTGCACTATTAATGCTCCAACTCGTGAAGAGTTTCTATTAGACAGACTAGTTTGGTCCTGCATTGACCATATCAACATCAGATCATCTGCGTCGATCGTTAAATCGGCCATTATTACAGAAAAACTCGCTGACCACTACTTTGTGGCCTGTCATTGTTCTTTTGGTAACTTGGCATCGCGCCAACTACCGGGCTGTATTAAAATAACCAGCATAGACAATCGTGCCTTTGATAAGCTAGTCTCGTCATATGACTGGATCGGAGTTCTGGAGTCCGTCCACCACAGTGACGTATATAAAAACTTCGTTCTTTTGTTTGATAAATTCTATAATACCTGTCGGAAAGAGGTCTACATAAAGAAACGTAACCCTGACCTTTTATGGCTAAATACAAATATTTTGACAGCAATTAGCGATAAAAATGCTTTATGGGCTAGATGCCGTCGTTCACCTAACAACGTGCAATTGAAGTCAGACTTTAAATTCCTTCGCAACAAAGTCAACGCAATGATTAGATCTGCCAAACGAAACTACTACCAGAAAAAATTCGCAGAGTTTCGTTCAGATGCACGAAAAACTTGGTCCCTGATTTATGAGTTCCGTGGAACTAGCACGCGCCACTCTATCGACGATACGATGAAGCAAAATTTTGGCGGTAATTTATGTCATGTTGTAGAAAATTTCAGGGCTTTCTTTGCTACTTTTTCTGGAAAGGCGAGAGATACAGATTGCAACTCCTATTGGTAACACTGTCAGCTCCTCTGCGTTGTTTTTCCCACTCCAAGAGACGGATCTGCACTCGATCTTGTTTAGCTTTAAGCCAAGCAAGTCGCCTGGAATTGACAACATTCGTCTCTCCGATCTTCGCAGAAATTATGTCAATCTCAAAGCGGTCCTTCTTTTTATGTTAAACGACTTTATTGAGGCTAAATCGATTCCCGACGACCTTAAAACATCAATAGTGCGTCCTCTATACAAAGGTGGTGCCAAAAATAACATCGAGAATTATCGACCGATTTCTATTCTACCGATAATCGTGCAGATACTCGAAAAGCATGTGTTTCAGGTAATGACGTCTTTTTTAGATAAATTTAATATATTGTCACCTACTCAGTTTGGATTCGTGCATGGGAAGGGCACACAGCCCCTTCTGGAAGATTATTCTGATTATCTTTACTCTGGTTTTGATAACAACGTTGTCACGTCAACACTATTCTTGGACGTATCTAAAGCGTTCGACACCGTTAGTCACTCGTTACTTTTACGTAAACTTCACAGCATAGGCTTCCGTGGCACTTTTTTTTCTTTTTTTGAGAGCTATCTTGACAATCGCTCCCAGCTGGTATCTGCTGGAGGTTTTCAAAGCTCACGAACCAAACTAAAAGCAGGTGTACCACAAGGTTCAATTTTGTCACCACTTTTGTTTAACATCTTTGTCAATGACATCGCCAGCTATGTACCAGGATGCAAGATCTATCAGTATGCAGATGACACTGTAATCATGTCCCAACATATTAGCTGCGTAGACTCGATTCGCCAGTTACAGCACCATGCGACTGCGGTCATGGACTGGTTTGAGAAAAACCTAATCGCTATCAATGTAAAGAAAACAAAACTAATGTGTTTCTACAATCCACATAAAACAATCAATCTCAGCATTCCTTTTATTTTACACTCATCTGCTTGTAATCAGTGCGCCTGTGTCCCCTTAGAGTACGCTAGTAGTGTTAAGTACCTTGGTATTTTTTTCGATAGTGGCCTAAAATGGCATGCCCATTTAGCATATATTTGCAAAAAAATTAAGGAGCGTCAGCTGCATCTTATATAGATCCAAATGTCTCATGCCTCTTTCTGTTCGTAAGGTTATTGCTCATACTCTAGGGTACAGTATCCTTCGGTATGGCATAACAGTTTTTGGTAATTGTTCCGCTTTCTGGAGAGCTAGAATTGACAGCATCCTTAAAGGAATCCTAAAGGGTGTCTCCTATAACATGCAAATACCCGAGGACACCACTCTTTTCGACCTTCTTCAACTGCCTGACTTTCACACCCTCTATGTTCACACAGTTATTTTGAGACATTTCTGGAGCTCTGAATTCAAAACTTTAAGCTCATCATCTCGTGCCCTCCGACACGTGCAGCCTTTCCAAATACCTCTTGTGCATACCCGATACGGTGAAAGTACGCGAGCATATTACGTTCCAAAGCTTTTCTCACAGCTGCCGCCCGAGCTTCTAGGCCTTACTTCGCTCCGTAAACTTAAGAAATCATTTAGAAGTATGAGTTTTTGATGACCTCTGTTTTACTTTGTTTAGTGTTTTCCAGTGTGGGGTTCACTTGTTTAGCCTGGACGTCCTGGACGATCGCTCGTTGGACGCCGTGTACTGCAATTTCGTTTTTCGCCTGACTATTTTTTCTTTTTCTTTTACACATCAGGCGCGACACTTTGGTCTTCGTGATTATCATTATTTTTTATATTAAGTTCTTTTAAACCTTATCTATGTACTTGAATCAGTATTTGGAGGCGTGAATTTGTGTGTTGCATGCACCCAACTGCTGACTTTGACTTTGGGACATTCTAAGGACGTGTGTATGTCAATCTGTCTTATTTCCTTTTGTATACCGGGTAGCAATGTTTAAAGTGTTAATTCTAGGGTAGCATCACACAAGCCTTGTTTTGGCTTTGATGCGCCCGTCACGCAAACAGTGTTGTGCTCCATACAATAAATGTATTATTATTATTATTATCCGGCGTCCAACGATCGCTCGTTGGACGCTGTGTACTGCAATTTCGTTTTTCGCCTGACTATTTTTTCTTTTTCTTTTAAACATCAGGCGCGACACTTTGGTCTTCGTGATTATCATTATTTTTTATATTAAGTTCTTTTAAACCTTATCTATGTACTTGAATGTACTTGAATCAGTATGTAAAATGTGCTTAGCTTC